AGCGCAGCCGGAGCCCGGGAAGGGAAGTGCCTCGCCAGGGACGCAGGGTCTGGAGGTCTGGGGGCTGCCCGGCAAACCATGAAGCCGGTAGCTCTCGGGCAGCTCGGCTCTTACAGAGCTGAGGAGTCAGGGAGCAGCAGCAATCGCCGGATCCCGCTCTAAGGTAAGTCAGGGATGCCGGCAAAGCTGGGAGTATTTTTCCTGGACATGTTCAGCTTTTTGGAAATTCCCCCTGGACGGGGGTTTGATTACCAAAAGGCCGGACATGTCCGGGAAAAACCGGACGTATGGTAACCCTATCTAAATACATAAAGAACATATTGGAGCTGGGAGCACGGAATACAGAATGAGCAGAAATGCACGTAACCGTGCAATGTAAATAAACTCTCTTGGTTATTGGTTACCTTTATAGTGGAGATGTGTTAAAAAAGTGGTGATAACAGCAGCACTTTTACTGCTAGAGCTATGAACATTGTGCAATCAAAGCAAATGTGGTTATTTTGGGGGTAAGCGCATCACTTCTCCTGGTATGAGACATTTCTGAGATTTCAAACAAGTGTCACAGTAGTAAAAATGAGCGTCTGTAAACTGAATCCAGCAGATCACTTGCCCTCTTGTAGCACCTTCCCTCCAAGGCTCTCCAAATACGGTACACCAAATTCAATGAAATTAGCTTCATAAAATCCCTGGGAGATTCCTGTTTCACACAGAGCTAAATGGAGACATAGAAGGGTGGAAGTATCATTTGTCCCTGACAAGTGTAACTAAGGGAATATGTTAAAAAATGAGGAGTCCTTGTGGCACCTTAGAGACTAACAAATTTATTTGGGCATAAGCTTTCGTGGTCTAGAACCCACTTCATCAGATGTATGAAGTGAAAAATACAGGAGCAGGTATAAATACATGAAAGGATGTGGGTTGCTTTACCAAGTGTTAAGTCAGTCTAACGAGATAAATCAATTAACAGCAGGATACCAAGGGAGGGGAAATAACTTTTGAAGTGGTAAGAGAGTAGGTGACCAGATCACCCAGGTCAAATATCGGGACAAGGGGGGGAAGAGGAAAAAAAGCAACAACAACCCCCGCACCACCACCATTCCTCCTCCCTCCGCAAGCACTGGAGGGAGGCCCGGGAGCCGCAGGGGAGCACGGGGCCGGGGTGAGGGTGAGTGGGCCCGCACGCGGGATTGCACCAGCTGGGCAGCCAGCCCAGAAGCGACTGGCCAGGGGCTGGGCGCAGCATGCGCGCTGCTGGGTCCCCGCAGCAGGCCCGGGCTCGGGGGGTTCCGGCCCGGGCGCCAGAGCCACAGCCGCCGAGCGCCACGTGCTTGGCCGCTTCCTCCCCCCGCGGCAGTGGGAGATGCAGCAGCGGCTGCTCCCGAGTCCCGCTGCCCAGGTGGGGAGAACAGCCGCTGTCTGGCCCCGCGGGTCGCCCCCTTACTCTCCCTCCAGGTACCGTGCCCGAGTCCTGCCTGCTTGGGGCCAGGCTGGACTCACACTCACCCCGGCCCCGCGCTCCCCTGTGTCTCCCAGGCATGGCGTGCTTGGGAAGAGGCGGGGATTTGGGGAGGGAGCCAATGGGGCAATGAGGGGGCGGGGATGGGGGCAGGGATTTGGGGAGGGAGCCAATGGGGCAGTGAGGGGGCGGGGATTTGGAGAGGGATCCAATGGGGGAATGAGGGAGAGGAGTCAGGGCGGGGGGGGGAGCGAGAGCCCTTCTGGGCTCCGCCTGTGCGTGGGAGCCTTGCTGGTTGGTCCAGTGTCCCGACCTAACATTGGTCGGGACGCGGGACAAACAAGCAAATATCGGGACAGTCCCAATAAAATCGGCACGTCTGGTCACCCTATAAGAGAGTGGCCCATTACAGACAGTTGACAAGAAGGTGTGAGTAACAGTAGGGAAAAATTAGTATTGAGGAAAATTAAGTTTAGGTTTTGTAATGACCCAACCACTCCCAGTCTTTATTCAGGCCTAATCTGATGGTATCCAGTTTGCAAATTAATTCCAGTTCTGCAGCTTCACGTTGGAATCTCTTTTTGAAGTTTTTTTGTTGAAGAATTGCCACTCTGAGGTCTGTCTACATAGCCCCACAGCTCAAACTACAGGATTGTGTGAATAGCAATGCACACCAAAGTGCTGCACTATAACTCCCTCATGTGAACATTGCAGGTGTGAATTAAAAGGTTCCTAGTTGACATTAATGTAATTGGAAGAGGATTATATTAATGCGAACTAGGAACCTTTTAGTTCATGCCTGGAGCAGCCATGCCAGGGAGTTACAGTGCAGCACTTTGGTGTGCACTGCTGTTCACACACTGCTGTAGCCTGACAGCCTGAGCCTATGTCCATTGAAATGTAATGGGAAGACTCCTATTGATTCAATAGGCATGAACTCATGCTCTATGTGTCGGGTGTAAATGCAAAACGAAAGTGATTACATTATCAAGTGTGACTTCTTTGCTTATGTCCAACCACATTTCATGCGTGTGCACAGAGCTTTCCTAACATTTATTTTTAACCTCTTTACTTTGATGTCATTGTCTTTGCCTGGGAGGCACTTCTCATTTTACCCCCGGGTGTTTCCTCTTTTTTCCTGCACAGTTCATGATGTTTTAAAAAAGGAACTATTTGCTTTGCGGGGAATGGCAGCGATCTCTTATCTGGCTTGTTTAAACATTTAGGCCAAAATTTTCAAAGTAATCAAAGATATCTGAGCACCCAATTCCCATTAGAATGAATGGACAATGGGTGTCCACATGCCTCTAGTCAATGTCTAAAACATCAGCAGTAATATTTTGATTAAATCTAGTGCATTTAATTAGAAATTTCTATTTCATTATTAATCAGTGCTGGTTACACAATTGCAAAAATGGGATATTAGTAAAATTATATGTAAAGAAGAAAACATTCCAGGTGGTTCTGTGGCTTTAAAGTATCATGTTTATAGGTGGGTTCAGATCCTAACATCCTTGCGGTTCAGTGGTGATGAGATCCAGAATTTTGGGTCCCAGTTCTCCAACTGACTCTGCATAAGCAGATCTCTGAGCCCTTCCACAGCCCTATGAAAGCCAATGAATAGAGCTAGTTGAAAAATGGGAACTTTTTTTTTGTGGAAAAAAATATTTCTGTTGAAAATTTTAAAAATTAGACATTTTTTGGACCAGCTGTATCAACCAGGATCCATGAAAGTGCAGGGGTCCACCGACGTGGGCTCATTTTTCAGGATTGGATCCTTGGTTTTGTCAGACACTGCTCAGCATTGGAACTCTGAAGAGGTTAAGATTCTAATTGCACTACTTCTTGTTATGAATGACATTTACCTATATACTGTTCATATATTATGGTGTTGCCACTTATTCAGATCATTTTATAAGTGCAATGTATAAAATATGTTAGCTGACTCTTGGGCAGGTAGGACATGCCTTAAATCCAACAGATCTAAACTGCTCCTTATACACACAGACTTTAGACAGAAAAGTTGAAATCTGTAAATACTTTAGGGTTCCCATGTATCCTTGGTTCCAGAAAACTGTGGGGTTGGAGTTGCTTTAATCTCTTAAAAAACAGTCCAATGTGATTGATTAGCGGGACATGTTTAAGAGTCATCATATATTTACAATGCACTGAATATGGCCCATTTCCCCTACTCTTGAATAGCTGGTGTGAACTCAATCATTGAGTTTATAACTTAAACGACGCTTTCAAAAATATCCCAACCTACTTATCCCCTCTCCAGGTGTGTCTTCTGTGTGTCAGCTTTTATTCAACAAAGCGTTTAAGCATGTGCTGCAGTGCTCGGCTGAATTGGGGCTAAGGGCTGTAAGGCCTTTGAAGTCAATGGAAGGACTCCTTTTGATTTTTAGTGGGCTTACAGCCAGTTTTTCTCCTCATTTTTACATATTGTATAGTGCTGAGCATATTGTTGGTACTAAACTAATAATAATCAAAAAGAACTTTTTAAAACCATTAGTATTTTATTAGCTATGCATTAACAAATAAAATACTTGTAGCAACAAGTAATCCAGAAACAAACAAACAAACAAATCCTTTACACACTGCTTTAGAAATGTGCTGGGTGCTTCCCAGAAGACGTAAGAAGATGTTCTTGCCCCAAAGAGCTTTCAAACCAAATATACAGTATAAAAGAACATGCTGCTGGATCAGAAAGAATGGAAAAACAAAGGTGTTCCTCAGTTTACACTGGACTCTAAGAGTAACCCAATATACAGTATATCAAATATTCCCCATTACTATCAATCAGCTGGACCATGGACTTTACAGACGTTGCTTTTTCCTTTTTCCATGTGTGTGCAGACAGGTATGTTTATATTCACAAACACACTTTGATTGTCTACATTTCTATCACATGATTTGTCCTTAAATTCTTCTTTTCTTCCTGGTGCTGTTTTTCTCTTTTTTTCCTTAATTCCGCTGCAATATTGTTTTTACGTGTTATTCAGTTGTCATCATTAAAGCTGTACTTTTAAAAAATAATTAATGCTGAGCAAAAGGAATACCTGACATTCAGGTACACTCACATGTTATATTTGACTCCCATCTTTTCATGTGCTGTATGTTTATTCCTGCTTACTGTATTTTCCACTCCATGCATCTGATGAAGTGGGTTATATACCACGAAAGCTTATGCCCAAATAAATGTGTTAGTCTCTAAGGTGCCACAAGAACTCCTCGTTGTTTTTACTGATACAGACTAACACGGCCAGGGCCGGCTTTAGGCCAATTCCACCAATTCCCCCGAATCGGGCCCCGCGCCTAAGAGGGCCCCGCTCCCAGTGGCAGGGCTGCCGGGGTGGGGGCAAGTGGCCAAGAATCCCTTCCCTGGCTAGAGGCTCCTTTTTAATTTTTACTCACCCGGCAGCGCTCCGGGTCTTCGGCGACACTTCGGCAGCAGGTCCTTCAGTGCCACCAAAGACCCGGAGCGAGTGAAGGACAAACCGCCGAAGACTACGAGTGCCGCCCGGTGAGTACAAGCCCCAGATGTTTTTTTACGTATTTTTTCTTTTTTCAGTCATCCTTGCCGGGGCCCCGTCAAAACTGTTCGAATCGGGCCCCGCACTTCCTAAAGCCGGCTCTGAACACGGCTGCCACTCTGAAGCCTGGAGGAGGTGTATTTCTAGAGATATGCTAACAAAATCTTTCACAGAAGGACAGAGGCATCCTGGTCACTGGTATTCTGGGTCTGGTTGCTGCTTAGCATGCTTTCTGGAGAGGTAGTTATAGAGCTAGTCGGGTATCGGTGGCAGGGCCCACAGGGGCACAGGAACAAGCAGCACTTTAGAAACAAGTGACAAAGGTACTTCCTGAATTTTTCCCCAGCAAAAGCATAGATCACCGGATTGAGACAACAGTGACTGAATGCTAGTGTTTCAGTCGCATGCATTGCATAGTCTATAAATTCGTGGCATTGGTTAATCAATTTATAGTGTCTTAAAGTTTCCAGAAAAATCAGTACATTGTATGGGGTCCAAAAGAGGAAAAACACAACCACCACCACTAAAATTAGTTTGATGGCTCTTTTTTTTTTGTGATTTTTGCAGGAGAGCAATGTCCTGATGATCCCAAAATAGCAATAGCTCATGACACAAGCTGGGATAAGGAACCCTAAGACATTCATTGCCACATTGCAGAAAATAGGCCAGATTTCCTTAAGATCATCAGGGTACCTAGGGATGCATTGTTCCTCTGCCTCCTGGGTGAACACAAATTGTGGCACTGAGACTAAAATAGCTACCGCCCACACTCCAAGAGTGGTAAGAGAGCCATGGCTGACTGTTCTGGCTTTCAGAGAAAACGCTGCCCGAACTATGGCCAGGTATCTATCGATGCTTATGATGGTGATGAAAAACATGCCCCCAAAGAAACCCACATAATAAAGTGAGGAGATGATTTTGCATGGAATGTTCCCAAGCGTCCATCCTTGCATCACATAGAAAGCCCAGAAAGGAAGAGAGATCACGAAGAGCAGGTCCGAGATAGCCAAGTTCAAGAGAAAAATGTCTGTGATGCTCTTCTGTCGACTGCCCTTCACGATGGCAAAAACCACCAGGAGATTCCCCACCAGGCCAAGAACAAACACAGGGGCATATAAGGCTGGCAGAAATACTTTCCCAAATGCCTGGATGTTTACTTGATCACAAACTGCAGCTGCTTCATCATAGGTAAATTCAGTTGTCACCTCAGGGTATTCCTGGGTCATGATGAGTGATTGCCTTGCAAAAGAAAATATAAAAGGAGGAAAAATAGTCATCAGAGAGGTAAATCCAGCAACCTGCAAAATACAGTTAAGTGAGCGAGCCAAGTTCTCTTCTTGGAGATTGTGAATCAAGAGGTGAGCCCCACAAATAATGCCTTAAATAAATCTGTTCGTCAGCATAAAACGTAGGACACCCTGAGCACTGGTAGATGTAGCATTTAAGGATTTCTACAAACAGTTCTGTTTGTGGGGAATGATTAAAAACCAGTGAGATGCCCATGCTGCTTGCCTAAAGCATGTGTTATTTTAATGGGTTGGCTCCTTTGTTTGATTGCAAACAATCATTTTTTTTAATGTAGGAAACTCACAGGAATTTTGTATATCAAGAAAGCGTGACACAGAAGCCCAGTAACATAGCACAGAAAGAATGGCCTGTGAAAGCCCATGATGAAGGGGCAATTTTACTGGTGTTCAAACCAATCTCCAGCTCAGAGGAGCTACCCCTGAATCATGCTCCCACCATCCTCTGACAAACAAAAAGAAAAGGTAGATTGGAAATTTGCATGCTTCATCGTTAATTTGTATAGCAGTGTTGCCTAGAGGCCCCAGTTTAGATCAGGCCCCGTTGTGTTAGGCACTGTACAAACGTAGTAAAAGACAAAGGTTTCAGATGCTTCAGTAGAAGTGGCAAGAAACTGCACTATTGACCATTAGGAATTCATTTGCCCACAGAGGATGTTTCCTTGTAATGCCAAGTCATCGGTGATTGATTTCTGCCATGCAGCGTGAAGTTTTTCTCTTATTTTGTAATAATTTATCAGGTATTTTCTGTGCTAGCTGGAAGCTGTGGCTTTGTTTTACAACATCTCACTGTGCAAAGTTCAAACCTGCTCTACTCCAAAACATTTGAAATGAAAAGTCCTCTTACATATTTAAAATCCTCTTTGGGGTTTTGGCCCAGGAAAGAGGGCTGGAGAAAGGCTAACGATGAAGGGTTTTCTGACTGCTGCTAGCTGTAAAGCTAGAGAAGGGAGTAGGTGAGGCAATGTTAGTAATAAGCAGAAATCACCCTTAGCCGGCTCTTGCAGTACCAATGCAGGCAGCATTCTCACTTAAATCAATGGGCCGGCCTGCAGAGTCCATCCAGCAGCCACATCTGTGTTGCTGGATTTAAAGTCAGTCGTCTCTATGCATTGATCATTCTATAAAAACGTAAATGGGGAGAAGGAATCTGATGCTAGCAAAGGCATAATAAGCACCAATGAAATTAGGAAAATTCTAACTGGAATTGCTCTGTAAATCTTTACCAGTGGGAGTAAGCATCCGAAGAAGTGGGCTGTAGCCCACAAAAGCTTATGCTCAAATAGATTTGTTAGTCTCTAAGGTGCCACAAATACTCCTGTTCTTATTATTGGAACAGTTTACTAAAGGGATATGATACATTCTTCCTTACTGCATGTGTATACTAGTTCAGCCACAAGGTATTGGGATGCTGTAGAAATTACTGAGAGAAACCAATGGCCTCTGTATGCAGGAGGTCAGACTAGGTAATCATGATGGGCCCTTCTCATCTGATCTGATTTTTTTACTTGGATACACAGCTCTGTGATGGACACTGCAGTATCCTGGCTGGCAGGGTGAGCAACAGCTGTAATGCTCAAATCAGTCTCTCTGACACCATAGCAAAATTCTCCGCTCTGCCTGCTCTCGTGATGCTGAGACTTCTCTCGGACGTCTGCCCATCACACAGTAGGTCACTTGTTATTCCGATCTATGGGGTAAGTATCCAGCTATTCCCAAATGTCTGATCAATAGGACTTGTAAATACGGCTAGCTCCTGAAGCTGAATCTTGAGGTTTAACAGCATCTGCTGGCTACCCCCTCATCTCTATGCTGCATTTGATCCCCAGGTGTGTTGTTTGACATTTGCTATTTTGAGACAGGGAACTTATGTGGTTTTTTTTTACTTTCTCTCCCCCTTTATGGGCCTCAGGCTGTGCTGACCCTCTCTCAATGATACAAGCTTAACCACTCTGCTTGTGGGTTCCTTTGGAAAGTTTCAATACCATACCACACACACAGCTGTGTTTGACAGACAGTGGCTTTCATGCCATAGGGCATGCTGAGTCTTGGGGGGAATTGCAGACACAGTCGGATGGTTGTACACTTACTTACCCATATTGCACATGCAATTGGAATGCATGTGTATGTAGCCACCTCCTTGTGTCCTCCCACAGCTTCCTATTTTGTGTATATACCGTAAGTGCCTCTTTTTTAAAAAATTGGCTCGTATGGTAATGCTGTATTCAATTAGGCCAGAGCCTCTTAACTGGTGGTTCGTACCCTCCCCCAGGAAGGCTCATTATGATTAGTAGTACCAGTCATTAGTTCTTTATTTGTTTGTTTGAGTTATGAAAGGCAATCAGGGAGGTCATGGGATGTTGAAAATATTATGATTTTATTATTATCAGTCTAAAGCTAAAAGAATCTCCCTCTCCCTGCACACCCTTACCCTTTGCAGTCGGGATTCTCTGTCAATCTCTTGAAACACACCCGTAAATTCTATAGGCTTATCATTGTTCTATTTATTGCAAACCTAAGGGCATTTTGAAAAATGTTGATCCCTAGTGAGGGATCTAATTTGAAGGGGCTGAGAAACACTGCACTAGGCTATAAATGTTTGTAACAACCCCTCACTCAAACACTTGCCCTTGTAGAATACAGCAAACATTAAATCAACTTCTGCTTCTTTCTCAAACCACCTCTCTTCCTTATTTTTTTTTCTCCAGCTCATTTTATTGTAGTCTACTTCCTCTGGTCCCAAGCACAGCCCTGCTCTATTTTTGTGCTTACCAAGCTTCTAAAAACATAGCTGTAGAACATATTCTGCTTTTTGGTTTCAGGTAACAGATGATATACTGCCCTGCCAACCAGGGTCGGATTAAGGCAGGGGCTTTAGGTGCTTCAGCCCAGGCCCCCGGCTCAAGGGGGGCCCCACAAAAATAAATCAAAGGCAGTAATCTCCAACTTCAGGCCACTAAAAGTCCTGCAGTGCAGTGGAATGCTCAGGCAGGCTGCCTGCAAACAGCGGTGGCTCCAGGCACCAGCGCACCTGCTGGTCCATCCGAGGGCGGCAGTCAGGCAGCCTTCAGTGGCATGCCTGTGGGAGGTCCACCGGTCCCACGGATTCAGCGGCAATTCGGCAGCGAGTACGCCGAATCCGCGGGACCGGGGACCTCCCGCAGGCGCGCCGCCGAAAGCCGCCTGACTGCTGTGCTTGGAGCGGCAAAAAAGCTAGAGCCGCCCCTGCCTGCATGCCATGGCCCTACACCGCTCCTGGAAGCGGCCGGCTGCTAGCATGTTCCCAACCAATGGGAGCTACGGAGGAAGCGCTTGTGGGCGCGGGCAGCGCACAGAGACACGCTGTCCCCCTCCGTCCCAGGGGCCCCAGAGATGTGTCCGCAGCCGGCCGCTTCCGGGAGTGGCATGGGGCTATGGCAGGCAGGCAGCCTGCCTGAACCCTGCTGTGCCACTGGCTGGGAGCCGCCTCTGGTAAGCACCTCCCAGCCAGAGCCTGCACCTCGCACCCCCTCCTGCACCCCAATCCCCTGCTCCAGGCCAGAATCCCCTCCTGTACCCAAACTTCCTCCCAGACCCTGCACCCCCTCCTGCACCCCAATTCCCTGCCCCAGCCCTCTTCTACACCAAATTCCCTCCCAGGAAAATGACTTGTATACAGGGGCCTCACAAAATCTAATAGCCCTGGGCTCGCAGGAGAGTTAATCCGGCCCTACTGCCAACACACTCTTTCTCACATCAGTGATTCTCAAGCATTCTATACTGTAGTGCAGTGGTCTCCAACCTTTTTACGCCCAAGATCACTTTTTGAATTTAAGAGCAACCCAGGATCCACCCTGCCTCTTCCCCAAAGCCCTGCCCCACTCACTCCATCGCCCCCCCTCCGTCACTCGCTCTTCCCCACCCTCACTCATTTTCACTGGGCTGGGGTAGGGGGCTAGAGTTGGGGTTCAGGAAGGGGTACGGGCTCTGGGCTGTGGCCGAGGGTTTTGCAGTGTGGGAGGAGGTTCTGGGCTGAGCCTGGGGCAGGGGGTTGGGGTGCAGTGGCGGGGGGAGGGTGGGCTCTGGGAGTTTGGGTGCAGGAGGGGGCTCCAGGCCGGGGCAGTGTTGGGATGCAGGAGGGGGTACAGGTTGCTGGCTCTGGGAGGGGAGTCAGGGCTGGGGATTGGGGTGCAGCCTCCCTCCAAATAGCACTTACCTCCAGCAGCTCCCAGTTGGCTACGCAGCATGGCTGCCCCTAAGGCAGGCTCTCTGCCTGCCTTGGCCCCACGCTGCTCCTGGAAGGGGCCAATGCACCCCTGCGGCCCCTGGGAGGGGGGCGGGTGGCACATGGCTCTGCGCGCTGTCCCTCTCTGCAAGCATTGCCCCTGCAGCTCCCATTGGCCACAGTTCCCCTTTCCTGGCCAATGGGAGGTGCGGGGGGCAGTGCTTGCAGGCAGGAGCAGCATGTGGAGGGAGACCCCTGTCCCTCTGCCCGCGGGGTTGTGATGGCCACTTCCAGGAGTGGTGTGAGGCCGGGGCAGGCAGGGAGCCTGTCTTAGCGGCAGCCCCACCGAAGATTGCAATTGACCAGTTGGTGACCACTGCTGTAGTGTGTATGTGTATAAATGTAAATATACACACATACATATATAAATAGTTTTGCAATCTTTAGTGGCCATGATCCACACGTCTGGTGAAAAGAGAGCAAACCCAGTTTACATTTCTCATCTTTCCAGCCCAATTGCTCACTCATTTCAACACGATGTTACAAAAACTCATGCTAACCACTTTTAGACCATGCTAAGAGCCTGCAGGGGTTGTCTCTATGGTGCAGAAATGTGCAATATGGGGGCATGATTTCTACATCTCACTAACGTGTTAGGCATTAATTGGTCCATGTAGACCATGCTGGTGTGCACTAAAAGTTCCCTAGTGCTCTTTAATGAAGTGCTGTGGTACTATGTTAAAATGCACAAGGGGACTACAGATCAACTAATGAGCAAAATGTTAGTGTGCTTTAGAAATCACAGCTCTGTAGAGCTCATTATCCCCCTGTGAAGATGTGCCCTGAGTTACAGGCATTACTGCTGACAAGTCAAAAACAGACCTTTTAGCCAAAGGTCTATTTTAGATGTTCTCACTCGGGTGCTAATCTAACACCTTGCTGAGACAGCGACTGTAGCGCTCAGAAATTTAACCCTAAAGGATTTTTCACACCTCAGTCAGACCCTTCATACTCTTGTTTGATTTGCTCATCTAAACAAACCACGGCTTCAGTGTACCCAGCATAGATGTGGGTTTTCTCCCTGAGACCGTGTTTCACAGCAGGGAAGTATATTTAGATAATACTGAATAATTTATGCCTGCACTGGTCCTGGACAAGCCTTAACTTATAGTGGAGACATATGTGAAGACATACGGATGCCTAGGCAGTCTCACCCTAGTTATTCTCTGCCACCGCCCTTCCCACACACAGATGCACCCACTTCTGCATACCCGTGATTACACCCATCCGCCTCTTACCTATCTGTGATCCACTTACAGGCTGGTGTGTGTTCTTCTTTCACTACTTGATGAAGTTATAAGGCTTCTGGTGACGCCTCTGTGATGCTGGCAGCTCTTGCCAAGCATCTTGCCAAGGCTGCAGGCACTATCTAAGAACGGACAAACACCTAGCTGGAGACCAGAGCAGTTCACTTGTGTGTTTTGAATTGCTCAAAATAGGTATCAGTTTTATAAGAATGTATGTAGTGTTTAGACTCTAAACAATGTTTGTCAGTTGTTGCATACATCCATCTTATTTATAATGTCAGTATTCCATGCTACAAGGAAATATGTAAGTTTTGCTTGATAACTTTTTTAAAATGTTTGCTTTAAACTTGTGAACTCAGATGGGAAGAATTAAGAGTGATTCCCCCTGCCTGTCCAGAAGAACTGTCAAAATCAGGTGGGCCATCAAGGACCAGTGCAATACAAAGGATTGGTTAATGGCCTATCATACCTTGGAAATACTACATGCAAGGAAGCTCGTCCTATGGACTTAAGCTATGTCTACACTGGCAATTGAACAACAAAACCGTTGTCTTTCAGAGGTGTTAACCCCCCCTCTCACCCCAAAGACAAAAGTTTTGCCACAGCAAGTACCAGTGGGAACAGTGCATTGTCGGCAGGAGCGCTCTCTTGCCGACAACACGAACGCTGCTCGTTGGGGGTAGAAGTTTTTTGTCGGCAGGAGAGCCGACAAACAGCCATGTCGCTAACAGCTGTGTAGTGTAGACATAGCCTTAGAGACTGAATGAAGGAAATAAAACAAAGACACAGGAAAATTTTCCATCTCTTTGCTGTTTGAACTCTCACAAGGCCAGAGACACTGATCCCCAGGGGTTACCCCATGGATCCGCTCTGAAAGACACTTTGACTCGATAAATCATTACAACTGTCACTTTTAGGATTTAGGCTATGTCTACACTACACAGCTTTTAGCGACACGGCTGTGCCACTACCGCCATGTCGCTAAAAGGTGCGCAGAGTTTTAGATGTCAAAGTTCCATTTTCAAAAGTAACTTAAGGCAGGTCTACACTTAAAATGCTGCACCAATGCCGGTGTGCCGCTGAAGTGCTTAAGTGAAGATGCTTCTCCCATTGGGGTAGTTAATTCCCCTTCCTAAGAGGTGGTAGCTATGTCAATGGGAGAAGCATGCGGGGTTAGGTCGACCTAATTACATCGTTCAGGGTTGTGGATTTTTCACACCGAGTGGCGTAATTATCCTGATCTAGGTCTGTAGTCTCTCTTGTGTCTCATTGACAATCAGTGGGACTTGGCTACACTTACAGCTGTACAGCGCTGTGAGGGAAACCTGTCTTCGTACAGCTGAGTAGGGAAAAGCGCTGCAGTCTGTCCACACTGACAGCTGCCAGCGCAGTGGTGTGGCTACACTTGTAACATTTGCAGCTGTGTTGGGAGCGGTGCATTATGGGCAGCTATCCCAGCATTCATGTGGCTGCAACGTGCTTTTCAAAACGGGATGAGGTGGGGTGGGGCGTGGAGTGTGACAGGGAGTGTGGGGGGAGATAGAGTGCTTTTTGGAGCATGTCAGCTCTCTATTTTGCAAGTTCCGAACTCCCGGCCCCCGCTCATTCATTCACTCACTCAAAGCAAACAGCAAATTATTTGCTTTTTCTTTGTGGTACGAGCTTTGAAACCGGCACTTCCGCATTCCTGCAGCCGATCACAACCATGGAGAGGATTGGCCACTTGAGAAGGTGATTAGTACAGCGCTGCAAGCGTTTAACACTCACACCCGTGAGTCGTAGCCACTCCGCTGTATCTCTTATGCTTCTCAGGGAGGTGGAGTACCTGCAGCGGTGTACCCAGGGAGATACAGCGCTGCAAGTGCCCTGCCAGTGTGGACGGGGAGTGAGTTACAGCGCTGGGGGAGGCTTTACAGCGCTGTAACTCGCAAGTGTAGCCAAGGCCTTAGACTCCTAAGTCCCAAAGGACCAGATTTAAAGGTATTTAGGTGCCTAAAGATGCAGAAAGACACCTAATGGGATTTTTACAAGCACTTATGCACCTAATTTCCATTGATTGCTTGATAATTCCATTGAGGTGGTTGGTGTTTTGCTGTTAGCTTTACGGGATGATAATTGCTAGGCTCACTCCACTTTTCTTTTTTTTTTAAATGTGTACTATATTCCAGTGGTTCAATGGTGGGGAGGGGGAGATGTCTAGAGGGCCCAGCCCCCCCCCACTCGTTGGCCCCTGACCAGAACTGGGAGGCATAACAGCAGAGCCCCTTCCCTGCTGGGATGACTGGGTAGCCAGGCTAAATTTGAGGGGCATTGTGAGCTCGTGCTCCAGCTTGGCCCCCACACCTTTGACGTCTTTCCTGCACCCTATGGGCACTGAGCACCCCCAGTCTCGGTGGAGAAGTGGAGCAGGGGCCACTGGGAAACCCCAGATGGGTGGAAGGGTTGGATCTGGGATTTTGGTGCTTCCTAGGGAAGCAGAGAGACAGTAGGCTTCCAGAACTGCCCGTCTCCTGGGGGGGAGGGGGAATGGTGCTATTCAGCCTGACTGCCTCTCTGGGTAAGAGCTTGGGGCTGGGTTTAGAGGTGGAGAGACCACAGGGCTGGGTGCAGGGCAAGGTGAGGGAAAGGGTGTGGAGCTAGGTGTGGGGCAGCAGGAGAGGAGTGTGTGTGGAGTGGGTGCAGGGCCGAGAGTGTGGTTTGGGTGCAGAGGAAGTGTGAGAGAGCTCAGGACAGGGTGGGGGAGCAGCAGGGGGAGTGTTCTGGGCTGAGCAGTGTGGGGAGAACGTTGGGCCCACTTCTTACCAAATTTCTGGTTGTGTCCCATTTGTTTCCCCCAGTTTGCTGACCTCCCCCAAGCAGTCCATACTTTTTAGAAATTAATTTTCCGTGGTAAATATGTATGTTGGATGATTCCTTGAATGCTTTTAAGATACATGTAGACTGGATGGGCCAATTCATACAGATTCAATTTTTTTTTCTAAGTTTATCTTACCTGCTTTTTGTCAGTAGTTCTTTCTGCAGGGTCGTCCCTCCTCTCTAATCATTCAGATTTCTTTTCTATGTTCTGTTGAAGACAAATTTTCACATGGAATTCATTATCCTGCCCTTTTGCAGTGACTGTTAATTCCACCCTCTCCTTCTTCCTTAAAATACCACACCTACTTACTTCCTCACCCCTCCCTTTCCCTTGTTGTTGTTTGTATGATTATCTGTATGATACCTTCCTCGAAATTAGAGATGAAAGACTTGTTAAGTCAGCTACTTCATCTGCCTGTCAATGAGGTACATTGCAGCCTGTCTTTTCCAAAAGTGTCTAGCCAAGTTTTCAGTAATGGGGATTCCAACCACTTCTTCCTTTTAGGGATTATTCCAACATCTAATAGGAATTGGGAAATCTTTCTTGGTACACCTCTACCCCGATATAACACGAATTTGGATATAACGCGGTAAAGCAGCGCTCCGGGAGGGGGGGGGCTGCGCACTCCAGCAGATCAAAGCAAGTTCGATATAACGCGGTTTCACCTATAACGCGGTAAGATTTTTTGGCTCCCGAGGACAGCGTTATATCGGGGTAGAGGTGTATTCAGCCTTAACTTTCCTTAAAACAACTCCTTTCCCTCCTTGGTATTTTAATAAGATTCTTCATATACTTGTAGATAGTGACCATATTTCTCTTTCGTTATAGTTTAACCAGTTCACTACCCGTGGGGTGTGCTACACTTATTGATGGTTTGTTGCAAGGTAACATATTTGGAAGCACTTGTTCATCTTTCTGGAGGTGCATCTATCTCATTACTGGTACCTATCTGACCTACAACACCAGAGAAGCATATCAGAAACATAAATACATGTATCTTCACAAGCCCTGTGAGGTAAGCCTGCCTTTATTTATTAATTATCCCAGTTTTTACAGATGGGAAGCTGAGCCATAAACGGATCAAGCAATTTGCCCAGGGTCACATGGAAAATCTGTGGCAAAGCCAGGAATCAGATCTTTTGGGTCAGTATCTATACCATAAGATCATCCTTCCACACCATGCTTTCTCGCTTCCTTTCTCCTCTCTGCCATTTTCTCTGTATTAAAGGGATGTGCGTAGACATTGATGTTGTGGGGGTGGTTGTTTTTTGGACCATGTTGGGCAGTAATATACCCTGGCACCTTGTGTATTTGTACAATCTTAATACAAATCTAAAATAAAAAACAATACCCAGAGACTGTCAGATGACAGGGTAGACAGGTCCTTCAGTCCATCCCTCTGCTCTAGTGCTGGACTGTCTTACACACTAAATCCATGAGTGTTTCAATGTGTCCTTAAAGATCTCTGGTGGTGGTTCTTAATTATTGCTCACTGCAAATTATTCTACTGTCTACTTGATCTCACAGCAAGATTTCTCCCCTCCACCTCCATAATGTCTAACCTAAACTTCCCCTTTTCTAGTTTCATGGCTGTTACCCATTATACTGTCATTTTTAAGAACCTTAAATGTCAACTCAGATAGCAGGAGGTTGGTACCTACAGAGTTCCTTAGATACATAAGAGACCATTAGTAAATATCCCTCTTCTATGGTGTCACCTTCAAATTCTACATAAAGCATAATTCTCTCTTACCTGAGGGTATGCTGCCATGGAAAGTGAATATGTTCTTCTAGCTGATCCTGATGGTTCCTTAAAAAGATTTCTACTTCTTCTGTCATCCTTTTGTGGTATTGGTAGTGCACAGCATCTATACAACCAGCTGCCGCTCAGCAGGGGAAATGAACATTTCCTGGGCTGAACTGCAAAATGTTCTTGGGCTATTCATCTACTGATGCAATGATGTATTGCAGAGTCAGCTCTCTGCTCAGGTCCCACACTGGTAGTAGGGTGGAATAATGAAACCAGATGGGTGTTGTGTTTTGGGGCGTGACCCAAACCCGTGAGAGGTTCTGCCACCACTTGTCCTGTAACCCCGAGTGTCTTAAAATGCTCTGCTGCTCTAGCTCCCTGTCTGGATGCTCCCAGCCAGCGTACAAGCATGCACTGAATGTCAGTGTGTGTTAAGCAGCCCTGGTTCAGCAACTCTGACTCCACCAGCCTGCTCGGAGAATCAATATAAAATATTAGAATTAGCTTAAACTTGGTTAGAGAAATGTGTGTTGTAAAGAAAAGCCCTAACTAGCAAGTAAAAGGCCTTGAAAGTAATAAGTTGAAAGATCAGAAGGAAAGAAGTCTGGAGGAGGTCTGGTTCCAAGACTAATGAAATAAAGAGAAGCTTCTAAACAGAAGGCCTCTGACCAGCAGCAGTGACTGAAGATGGTTTTAAATAAGACAGAGAATCTGTCTTAGAAAGAGCAACATGGCCCTTCCCACCCCACTTAACAGTGTCATCTCAAATATCAGGGCCTATGTGAATCCAGGTGCAAAGGAAAAACTGTTGGTCAACAAGGAGGAGGGAAGAGAGAGGGAGGAAAGGCCCTGAGGAGAAAAGGAGGTGGTAAATTTTATCTGGATTAATACTGGAAATAAGGGTGAACTTTCTCAAATTGTTTTTTAGCCGAAGTCAGTAATTGGCAGTGACATCATTGCTTGTTAAAGAGTATAAAAAAGTAAACTCGGAAAGGATTCATTACTAATACCTGCCTGATCAGGTTGGAGCTGACCAACAAGGGTCTAAGAACCCCTGGGTTTAGTCCAATTTGTAAGTACCTGATCGAATGCTTATAAACCTTTTGTTACTGTTCGGACGTAGTAAATTGCTTGTAAGTTCAGCTTTTTAGGCATGTTTAGAGCAATCGTGTAAATACCATTCAGGCTTTGTATTTAATAACAGGACTTATGGTTACATCAGTGTCATGATAATATCCTGCATCAATAATTATAAGTCCATCATGGCTTGTTACACTACTGCCACACTCTGGTCTCCACGAACCTCGGTTATTACTAGCCAAGTGACCCCTGTGACGGGTTGCCCCCCCCCCCCACCATGGGTGCCACCTGATGTATTGGGGCCCCACTGGGCTCACCTGTTCCACCAGCCTGGGCTCCCTTACACTGCCCTGCTGAACCAGGCCATCAAGCCTCCTCCAGCACACACTGGTAGGGCCACATCCAGCGTCAGAAAGACACAGACACGAAGATCAGCGCTGCCTGGGAAGGCTTTAGCTAAGAAATTGCCCAGCGCACAAGTGCACACCCCCTCTGGAGTGCAAATCCAAAATCCTATTGTGAAAATTTTAAGTGAAACTTTCTTTAAGTGAAAGCTTAGTGCTGCCCAACTCTCTGGCAAGGGGTAGGTTGCAGAATGGATGGTGCCCTGACCATGTTTTAAGCTATTTTATAGGCACTGCTTTCCCCCTTTCTTTTGCATACTGCAGTCATCTAAACCCTGGACTATACGGTATCTTGTTCAAAGTCACTGAAGTAATCTCAGGTACAACCTGTCACAGTTCAGGAGAACTGCAGCTGTGTTCCTCCTCTCTGGTCCAGCAAGGGCACCTGCTCTCAAGCTTCCGGCTCCCCAGCCATCACCTCCCTTGGTGGAGACCCACATCTCTCTCCCTTCCGACCAGGGTATTTCCAGGCTGCACAGTTCCCTGATTGCACTGTGAGTTCTCCAGCAAGACGGATGGCATACACAGGCAATGTCTCTGCTTTGCTTTCCTTGGAAGGCTACAAACAGCATAATTGCCACAGTTGTAAGTTACCACCCAGCTCTTTCTAAGCAAGCACATTTATTTTTAAGATAAAAGCATTATAGAGAAAACATATTAAAAACAATAAAACAACCTGCTGCACGCCTGCTAATAAGCTTACCAGAGATCATCCCCCCCCCATCTCCACAAGGGCTCTGGTCGATGTCAAGCCCTCCAACACTTCCCTACAGATTGCCCCTTCCTCCCCCATTGGCCAGGAGTTCCTGTCTGTTTGCTGGATCAGAACAAAGGCCCCGAGTCAGTTTAAACTCAGGCTATTTATCCAAAAGATCTTTCTGTGTCTGTTGGTCTCTGAAGAATCAAGTCTGAACTAGGATATGTGAGCTTTCCCAGGGGATGGAACCTCTCTTGCTGGAGGGACAGGTGGTTACAATCTGGCTGTTTTCAGTTCCTGGAGAGCTGTGGTAACCCTCCCCCATGGAGTAGAACACAATCATATGTAAACATTCAGTTAAAACAATGGACCCCAACAACACTGTATGTCCCCTCTCAGTCTTCTCTTCTCCAGACTAAACAAACCCAGTTTTTTCAATCTTCCCTCATAGGTCATGTTTTCTAGACCTTTAATCATTTTTGTTGCTCTTTTCTGGACTTTCTCCAATTTGTCCACAGCTTTCCTGAAATGTGGTGCCCATAACTGGACACAATATTCCAGTTGAGGCCTAATCAGTGCTGAGTAGAGCAAAAGAATTACTTCTTGTGTCTTGCTAACAACATTCCTGCTAATACATCCCAAAATGATGTTTGCTTTTCTTGTAACAGTGTTATATTGTTGACTCATATTTAGCTGTGATCCACTATGATCTGGAAAAGATCCATGAAAAGATAAAAGCAAGGACTAGCCTTGTGTGAAAACTGGCCGGTGTAGCATGGGGTGCTGGTGTGCACACACTTCGAACAGTGACTTTAGCTCTAGTGCACTCGACTGCTGAATATTGCACACCAGTTTGGGAGGGTAGCTCACATACCAAACCTCTGGATGTGCAGCTTAATGCCATAATGAGAATTATAATGGGAACATTACAAAGAGGCTTGGCAGGATTTGAGTTTAATTGACAGATATCAGTAAATGGTGATTTCAGCTGACACAGCGAAATTGAAAAAAAAACCCACTGTGTGAGTGCAGCCTAGCTCCACACCTTGCGACAGCACCCGAAGCAGCACGGAGCATCCTCTGCAGCCTGCTGTCATGGGAATGAGTGAACGGGGCCGTGACAGTGAAGCTGCAGAGGGCTCCCAGCATGGCCATGAGGCCAATGACACCTAATCCCTGCAGGCACAAGGTGTGGGGAGGGCTGAAGTCGTGGCAGGGCAGAGCAGAGACTCCTGGCCAGGAGTGCAAGGAGAAGGAGGAAGAGAAGTCCCCGGCTGCAGGGGAGGCCCCCCGCTGCTGAATGGCTCTGGCCAGGGGCTTATCATCCTCCTTCTCATAGTCCTGGCCAGGGGTCTCTGCTCTGCTGGGCTAGGGATTGCAGCCTCACCCCTGCACCTTGTGCCTGCAGGGATCCAGTGTCAATGGGCCCATGGCCATGCAGGGAGCCCTCTGCAGCTCCTCTGTCAGAGCTCCACCCACTCACCAGCGAGAAGTGTGTGAGCCGTCCCTGGGCAGATGCCATTCAACAGTGGGGTGGCCTCCCCCGGGTCCAGGGGCTAATCCTCTTACTCGCAGTCCCAGCTGGGGGCTTCTGTTGAGCCAGGCCAGGACTGCAGCCTCCCCTGCACTTTGGGCCCAGGTGTTTTGCGTCCCTCAACTGTACTGGAAAAGAAAACCAGCAAGCAACGGGCGAATACACGGTGTTGGCTCTGCAATCAAAAACCTTCTAGTCAACCGCCTGACTGAGCTCCCCGTCAGCAGCAACAAGCACCCTATGACCCAAATAAATCATTTGCCACTATCATCAGTGCATATGCACCAACTCTTGATGCTGAAGAACAGATAGAATCCTTCTACACTGACCGTGATAAAATTTTGTCATCCATTCCAAAAACAGATCCTTTTAGGGGGACTTTAACTCAAGAAATTCTGGCCGAAATTCTAAATCAGGGGTGGACAAACTTTTTGGCCCGGGGGCAGCATCTGGGAATAGAAATTGTATGGTGGGCCATGAATACTCACAAAATTGGGGTTGGGGTACAGGGGGGCGAGGGCTCTGGTTGGGGGTGGGGCCAGAAATGAGAAGTTCAGGGTGCGGGAGGGGCTCTGGGCTGGGGCAGTGGGGTGTGAGGGCTCTGGATGGAAGTGCACGCTCTGGGGTTGGGCTGGGAATGAGGGGTTTGGAGGGCAGGAGGGGGAATCAGGGCTGGGCAGGGGTTGGGACAACAACAACATTGAGATTACAGCCCTTTTGGACCAAAAGAGAAAAGATTTCTGCGACTGGCAAAACCAACCACTGTCCAGTCAGAAGCAGAGCTCTTTCCTTCAGCTCAAAGCTGAAGTTCAAAGGAGGATCCAAGGAAACAAAAACAAATTTGCTGACAGACATGATATGCAGTGCTTTTTTTGTGAGACAAAGACCCTGTACGGATCAAGCTCGTGTGGCCTCATACCTCTGAGATCCGAAGATGGTAGTACCCTTCTCAAAGATAACAAATCCATCTCAGGAAGGTGGGAGATTAGCATCTTCAAAGTTCTATTGTCCTTCTTAATGCTAGCAACATGAAGACTATTTTGATATTGTCTTTTTTTTTATCTTAGCAGTGCAAAACAAAGAAAGTTTTCAATGGAAGTGCCAATGAAAAATCATGTTAAATCAAGATAAAAAGTTCTTACATCTCCTCTATGACTCTTATACAGTAATATCCTGCAATATGGAGCATGTGCTTCATTTAATTAAAACTTAACTAAAATAAAGACAGTACTGGGCCAACATCCAATTAAGTTGGAGAAGGGCCTAAGCTGCAAAATTCAGAACAGGATCTCAGGTTTGGTTCAGCAAATAGTAGAGACAGAGACCAGCTGTGAAATTTGGATCCTTATCTGGGTTTGGACTGTGAACCTGCCTCCTCCCCTTCAAAGTTCAGACATGTTCAGATCCAGACTTTTAGTTTGGGTCCATCTCTAAAAATCAATATTTTTCCAGAGCACTTAGGTTAGGGGCAAATCTCCTCTTGCTTTTCTGCAGGCACAGGAGCTGTGACCACAGCCAGACCAATAAGGT